GTGCTTGCACAAATTACTAAATACCGTCTCACTACCTCGATGAGAACAAGTGAGAGAGACTGTTCACGCATGCGCTGTATGGTAATCTCTGATTGTTTTGCCGCGTAAATACTTCTGCAGATGTTTTAATTTCTGAACACCTCGGAATAGCTGCAAGAACAAGAAAGAATATAACAACGCAGGGTAATAATGATACATGGATCTAAACGGAGAGTCTAAAACTGGAATTAGACAAAATTTTAGAGTTGTTCGAAATAAATTTCTTTTTAAATTTGTATTTGCTATAGACGATAATTTCCTCAGATCATTGATTAAAAATGGCTTCAAATCAATTAAATCTGTGAGTCTGGAAAAAGACTGTCCTGCTTCGGATGCCTTTGACTGACGCTGCAGAATGATAGATAGATAGATAGATAGATAGATAGATAGATAGATAGATAGATATTATCGGATGTTTTGCTGCACTTAGAACCTACAAACCTATACAACTGCAGATAGATATGAATAGACTCACGTAGATAGACAGATAGATAGATAGAGAGAGAGAGAGAGAGAGAGATATGAATAGAATAAGATAGATAGATAGATAGATAGATAGATAGATATGAACAGAATAAGATAGATAGATAGATAGATAGATAGATAGATATGGATAGAATGAGACAGATAGATAGCTAGCGAGCTAGCTACCTAGCTAGCTAGAGAGATAGATAGATATGGTCAGAATGAGATAGATAGATATTATCGGATGTTTTGCTGCACTTAGAACCTACAAACCTATACAACTGCAGATAGATATGAATAGACTCACGTAGATAGACAGATAGAGAGAGAGAGAGAGAGAGAGAGAGAGAGAGAGATATGAATAGGATAAGACAGATAGATAGATAGATAGATAGATAGATAGATATGGATAGAATGAGACAGACAGATATCTAGCAAGATAGATAGATAGATAGATAGATAGATAGATAGATATTATCGGATGTTTTGCTGCACATAGAACCTACAAACCTATACAACTGCAGATAGATAGATAGATAGATAGATAGTAATATATAATTCTGTTCATTGAGTTAACGACATTCAAAAGCGGCAATAATCGAAATAGATAGCACATTTAACTTGTTGATTAAAAATTATTAACACTCGATATTACCATAAAAATGTTATAGAGGTGTAGACGGTGTTTCGTAGACTTGACTAGAAGTCAGGTTTGGTGAAGGACAATTCTTAATTTAACACCGTGGAGAAAGTCACTTCAGACACTCCTCCATCTTTCCTAACAAAGAGATTTTAATTTAAACATTATAAAGAAAAGTAATCTGGGAGAGACCTGATCGCCTACATCCTGACGTAAGATGTCCTTTAAAAAAGAAAGAAAGGAAAACAAAGGTTGCCTTAATATCGTTATGCGTATGGGACTATATTCTACGCTCAGATGCCTAAAATGGCGAAGTAAGTTTCTGTCAGTTTTTAGGTTTGTTTGGTTTGGTTTGTTTTACGGTATATCAACCTCAGTGGGTTATTTAATGCCAACAAGATTTTTATTGTTGGTAACATTTTTTTCAATAAATTATTTCTGGTAATATTGTTCCCAAAAATGTAATGCTGGTAATAATGTATTGCTGGTAATAATTTTTTACAAAAAATGTATTGCTGGTATTAAAATCTATTTTTACACGTTTTGACCCCACTTTGTGGTGTTAACTATTTGCTCATAAAAGGTGGCCAGGGTGGATCTGGGAACACCAGCAATTAAGAGGTGTTTCCATTCTTCTCAAATCATCCTGGTCAGACGCCTTGCAGTCGGATTTAGTTTAGTCTTACCCATGATGCGGATGTAGTTTATCGTCTTACCCAGGACAACAGTGGTTAGGATGTTTTAAAACATAAAACAGAAATGAAATTAATCACGAGTGTTGGAAACTTTACACATTTGCGCAGCACTGTATATGTGCACATACACATATATATATATATATATATATATATATATATATATATATATATATATATATATATATAGATGCGTGTGATATATATATATATATATATATATATATATATGTGAATATATATATATATGTGTGTGAGTATATCTATGTATACATATATATATATATATATGTGTGAATATATATATGTATATATATATGCGTAGTATATATATATATATATATATGCGTGTGAGTATATATATATATATATGCGTGTGAGTATATATATGTATATATATATATGCGTGTGAGTATATATATATATATATATATATATATATATATATATGCGTGTGAGCATATATATGTATATACATAATTATAATTATAATTATATAATTGATAATTATTACCCATCAATATCTAAAGAACTATTTTTGAATGCGTTGGACTTTGCCACCCACTATACAGATATCACATATGAAGAAAAGAACATTATTCTACATGCGAAAAAATCGGTGCTTATACATAAAGGTGTGCAGTGGATTAAGAATTCATATGACCACTTCGACATTACTATGGGATCACTAGACTCAGCTGAGTCTTCTGATCTCATAGGTCTTTTTATATTATACAACCTTACAGCGCACAGTGATATTAATATAACTGACATTGGTTTGTACAGAGACGATGTCTTTATGGTTATTAGAAACTCAACCAACTTCAACATAGATAGAATTAGAAAGGTTTTATATAAAGAATGTAAAAACATGGGCTTAAAAATTACGGTTAGCACTAAATTTAAAAAGTGAACTTCCTAGATATAACATTAGATCTAAATAATAATACATACACACCTTATAAAAAAACCTAACACTAATCCTTTATATATACACCCTAAATCAAATCACCCCCAACTATAATTAAACATATACCGTTATCTATCAGAAACGAATAAGTACACATTCAGCAAATGACAAGATTTTCGATGAGCATATTAATTCCTATAATAAGGCTCTAAAAGAGAGTGGCTACAAAAACCCAAAACTAACTTATATAAAAAATATAAAAAATGAAAATGAAAAGCATAAGAAAAACAGATGTAGAAAAATAATTTGGTATACGCCCCCATACAACCACATGGTAAAGTACAAATTACGACAAAATTTCCTTGCATTAATAGTCAAGCTTTTTCCTAGTGAAAGTAAACTAAGTACTATTTTCAATAAAAACACACTAAAATTGAGTTACAGCTGTACGGAAAACTTAGAAAAAATTATTAAGAACCATAATATCTTAAATAAACACTTATACCATAACCCAAAAAATTTAGACAGTGTAAAAATAAAAACCGATGAAAATAAACGAAAATTATGTAATTGTAGAAACCCTCATAATTGCCCTCTTCAAAATAAATGTTGCACTGAATCAGTAGTATACCAATGCAATACTCTTCGATTGAAAGTCCTGAAAACATAAAAAATATATATAGGTTGCACTAGCCATGAGTTCAAAAGAAGATTCAACCAACATCAAAGTTCATTTAGAATAAATAAATATAAAAATCAGACATCCCTATCAAAATATTTCTGGCACCTAAAAGAATCAAATAAAACACCTACAGTAAAATGGAAGTTAATAAGAAAAGCTAGAATATGTAGGTCATTAAATGACCCATTTCCTTTGTGCATACATGAGAAACTATATATTGCTAAGTTTATAAAAAATAAAAATTTACTGAATCAGAGAAATGAAATAGCTATTGTATGCCGTCATTATCAAAATTTTTCCTTAAATAATATTTAAAAATAAAAATAATTTTATAAAATAGGATCAGGTAATATACATACTTATATTTAACATGAAATATTAATAGTCGAGCATTTTCCTAGTGAAAGTAAACTAAGTACTATAGAAAAATTTTTTTTTACTTAAAAAATACTTAAAAAATATTTATAAATATAAAATTAAAAAAAAAAATAGTAATTTTTATATACTTGATGTAGAAAAATAATTTCACTTACTTTAAGTAACTCTAATACATTTTACTTATATTAAATGAAATATAGTCTAAAAAACTAATAATGAAAATGTTTTAAAGTTGTAATTAAAATTGTAGTTAATTAAAACGAATTCTAACCTAAACTTCTTTTAAATTGTAATTAAATAAATAAATAAAGTTTACTAAATTAGAGTAATGAAGTAGCTATTTTGCCGTAAAGTTAAAAAAAAAAAATTTACTTAAAAAATATTTAGATATAACATTTATTAAAAAATCGTAATATAAATATACTTGATATAGAAAAATAATTCTACTGACGGTAAAGAACTTGGATACATTTTACTTATATTAAATGAAATATAGTCTAAAAAAACTAATAATGAAAATATTTTAAAGTTGAAATTAAAATTGTAGTTAATTAAAATGAATTCTAAACTAAACTTCTTTTAAATGGTAATTAAATAAATAAATAAACTTTACTAAAATAGAGAAATGAAGTAGCTATTTTGCCGTAAAGATAAAAAAAAAATTTAAAAAAAATTTACTTAAAAAATATTTAAATATAAAATTTTAAAAAATCGTAATATAAATATACTTGATATAGAAAAATAATTTTACTGACGATAAAGAACTCGGATACATTTTAAATGAAATATAGTCTAAAAAAAACTTATAATGAAAGTATTTTAAAGTTGTAATTAAAATTGTAGTTAATTAAAATGAATTCTAAATTAAACTTCTTTTAAATTGTAATTAAATAAATAAATAAATTTTACTAAAATAGAGAAATGAAGTAGTTTTTTTTTGGCCGTAAAGATAAAAAAAAAATTACTTAAGAAATATTTAAATATAAAAAAAAATTTTTAAATCGTAATATAAATATACTTGATATAGAAAAATAATTTTACTGATGGTAAGTGACATTCTACTTCTATTAATTGAAATATAAGCTATAAAAACTAATAATGAAAATATTTTAAAGTTGTAATGAAAACTGTAGTTAATTAAAATGAATTCTAACCTAAATTTCTTTTAATTTGTAATTAAATAAATAAATAAAATCTACTAAATCGGAGTAATGAAAAATTTTACTTTAGATATAGTTAAATATAAAATTTTAAAAAATCATAATATACTTTAAATATACGAAAAAAAAAAGGGCGTAAGAATTTTATCCGTTAACAATATAATTTTAAGAAATCTAGACGACAGGTTTTAACGGAAGTTAGATTTCATTGAAAAATACATCCCTTCCCACGACCCAAACGTAGCAATAACTGAAACATTAAATTATAGACATATTGAAAACCCAGCCACCCCTGTCTAGAAAAATAGATTTATCTGTAACCTTGGAAACATGAATTTTGTTTTAGCTGTGTATTTAAAACACAGTGATTTTAAAAAGTTACCCCAAAATTCGCTTGAGGATGAAATGGAACTAATGTCTTTAATTTAATCACAAAATTAAATTCGTGGCTTTTAGCTTCCATTTTTGAAACATGGTTAGAGCTGTGTAGCGAAAAAAACATTTTAAATCAATTAATTTATAATATACATATATATATATATGCGTGTGAGTATATATATATATATATATATATATATATACATGCGTGTGAGTATATATATGTATATATATATATGCGTGTGAGTATATATATATATATATGCATGTGAGTATAAATATATATATATATATATATATATATATATATATATATATATATATGCGTATATATATATATATATATATATATATATATATATATATAGACCCAGTCAAAAAGCGGTAAATTCATGCACCTACTAAACAATCATCGTAGATGATCGAAATGTTTGCTTGAATGTTCAACATAAAGTTGGAAGCGGGTTAATCAGGACTAGTTTTGCAGATTGTGTCAAGTGGAATTTCAATCCAAGCTTCAGTTAAGTTCCACTTCAATGAATCGATATCGACGATGTCACGACAACGGTTTTGTAAGTGAGTCCGGAGTACATTCCAGATACAGTAATCTATAATATTCAGATCTGGGCTTTTAGAGAGGGTCACCGAGATGAACCAATTAGAGCTGGTCTATTTTCTCGAATAACAAAAGTAAAAGGAAAAATTATTGACAGCCATAAGACAATTCCTAGGCCACTGTATATTTCAAAAATAAAAATTAAACCGATTGAAAATTTATCCATTATTATTCTTGTAAAATCTGTATTATTCCTTTTTATGTAGCGCATTTATTTACCATCTTATCAGACTAGCATTCTCGGCTGACATTAAAACATTCTGAACATTTTCATTTTAGTAAATGTTTTTTTCTCTTTTAATTAGATTTGCGTTTGTAAATTTAAATTGTGGTCAGTTTTAATAGGGTGAGTAAGTAATGCATTTAATGTGGTGTTTTGTTCATATAAACTTTTATTTAAATTTCTTGATGTTACTCCGATACATTCCGTGTGGCAATTATTACAGGTAAATACCTCCTTCAAAGTTTAGTGTATTATGTTGTTTTGTATTAATTACCGTAATTCCCCATGTATAATGCATATTTTTCTAAAAGAAAAATAATAAGCAAACAGGGGTACGTATTATACACAGCTACGAAACATCATAGGTCGATTTCAGTTGCGAAAGGACTACTCACCGCAAACACACGACAAATTGACACTCACATTCGGCGATTGCGACCCCATAACGATATCAAATACAATCATATGTACCGAACAATAGTTAAAAATGTAAAATAAAATAAGAATTATCATAAAACTAAATTAGAATAATATTATTCTATGTTTAAAACTATTTTTAATAAGAGTATGAAACGCTTGCCGTAATGAAATTGGAGAGGTACAATTTATAGGGTTTGATTACCAAACAAGGGGTGCGTATTATGCGTGAGTAGAAGGATTTTCCCACACTTTCAGCGAAATTTTAGGGGTACGTATTATGAATGAAGGCGTATTATACATGGGGAATTATGGTAAGTCTTTTATTGTTTTAGACGTAGGTGCGACAAATTTTATGTTGAGTTTAGATAAATTCTTTTCAGTTTTATTTGTGATAGGTTTGGTGGGTAGAACAATATATTTTGATTTGTTATGTTTGCCATTTCGCTGCTACCAGCAAGCAGAAATATTTTTTCTCCTGATGATGGCCATGTTGGCCGAAACTAGTCCAGGAATCTAAATGAAATAATAAGAATAAAAACGAAAGAATATTAATCTACAACCTAGTGTGTCTGAAGATTTTAATTATTTAATATTTATTATTGTTCAATATATATATATATATATATATATATATATATGCGCCTGTGTGTATGTGTGTGTGTGTGTGTGTGTGTGTGTGTGTGTGTGTAATTTATTGCTTAAATATTATTTTTAGTGGATACCAACATTTGAGCAGATGCTCTGTTTTCATTTATTAAAAAAATATTTATTTATTTCCACCTACCGGCCTGAATATTCGAAATATATAGATGGTAGGTGGAAAAAATAAATATACTGTTTAATAACTAAAAACAGAGCATCTACTCACATACGGGTATCCCCTAAATATGACGTTTAAGCAATAAAATAAAAATATGTCTGATTAATAAATGAAAAATCCGTTCCTAAAAATATATAGGTATATAAATTAACTATCAGTGACAAGCTAATGCAGTTAACCTTTTTATATATTTTACTTGTGTTCGTATAATAGCACCATCGACACGTAAAAACAACAAAAAAGCCTTAAAATTATTTTATATATATATATATATATATATATATATATATATATATATATATATATATATATATATATATATATATCAAACAGTTATATAGCTTTTTCCCATATATTAAAGTTATATAGGTAGCGGTGTGTATATTGGTATATTGAACATATAATTGGCATATCGAACTGAAATTCTGCCTTATGTTCACTTCGGATGCATCAATTCAACTTCTGATGTTATATGCTGGGGCGTTAAATCAAAGGTTTTTAACCTTTTTTTTTAACCATGGACCACTTTTACCCATGAACCACTTTTACTCATAGTTTATTTATGGTTGCCATCCCCCCTCATAACCTTTCGATAAAAAAATGCTTATTTTACTTTTTGCAAATCGATATGTTTAGGAATTGTATTTTAGAAATAGCAAATACATATGGTTTTGTTATATAGCTTACCTATGAAGTCGGGGTAATACACTGTCTAAATAGTTCACCACTAGCAGTGGTTTCCCTACTTCACGCCGCTGGCGAGTATTGTATTTTGTTGATGTTATAAAGATTGCAATTTCATTTCCAATCTCCGTTTTGGCTAACGCTCATTCAGTAACGCTTTTGAGGTCACAACACTCTGTCTGTCTGTCTGTCGCTCTGTTCATATCTATCTATCTATCTATCTATCTATCTATCTATCTATCTATCTATCTATCTATCTATCTGTGCCTGTCTGTTCATATCTATCTATCTGTCCGTGGTTATATTCCGTAAGTATGAAGACTAATGGTTACGTCCAGATCCTTATAAATATGTAGGACACTATTGTAAGTGGGGTTTATATGCTGTCTAAGTAGTCCATCTTTAGCAGTGGTTCACCTACTTCACGCCGCTGGCGAGTATTGTATTTTGTTGATGCTATGAAGACTAGCATTTCATTTCCAACCTTAGTTTTGCTTATCCCTCATTCAGTAACCCTTTCTAGGTTACAACAGTCTGTCTATTTCTTCATATCTATCTATCTATCTATCTATCTATCTATCTATCTATCTATCTATCTATCTATTTGTGTGCCTGCCTGTTCATATATATCTATCTGTCTGTGTTATATTCCGTATGTATGAACACTAAAGGATATGTCCCAATCCTTATAAGTACGTATGGTAGTATTGTAAGTGGGGGTAATATGCATGAGTGGTTTACCTACCTAACGCCTCTGATAGCCAATGATACTCGAAAATCACCCCTTTTCACAATATCGAGCCTATTACAATAATAATTACTTTATATATATATATATATATATATATATATATATATATATATATATATATATATATTTGTTTGAAGATGAAACAGGATTAAACACCTCAGTTCAACTTAATTTTAATAATTATTTGGATGGTTTCGACTCTCGTTTTTGAAACATGAGAACACTTATGAAGCGAAGGAATCATATCTTTAAACAAAAAATATTATATACATATATATATATATATATATATATATATATATATATATATATATATTTATTCTTAATAATATTTAAAATTAATAGATTTAGAGTTTATTAATATATTAAATTAAATTATGTAATAATTAATATATATATATATATAATCTTTAAATAATTTTCTTTTTATATACATACATGTGTGTGTGTGTATGTGTGTGTGTGTGTGTGTGTGTGTGTGTGTGTGTGTGTGTGTGTGTGTGTGTGTGTGTGTGTGTGTAAGGAAAATTGTATAAAGATTGAGGAATCGGTGAGCCAAGTTCGAATTCCAGTCGAATCTATTACATTCTCTTTCGTGCTAATACACTTGGGAAAGGTGTGAATCCTCTTTTTCTCCCTCCAGCTATGGGTAAATAGCAGGACAGACTGGGTTCTATAGCCTTGGATGGCATCTGGTCTAGGAGAAGGACAACTCTGAATTAAAAAATGTGGTGGATCGTTTGGGGAACGTGTGACACGTAGTGTACCAGGTCTCTGTATTTGGCCCTTCAAAAAGTGTGGTTGTTTCTGTACAAAGCCTTCACCACAAAAATCAAATCATATGTTTTCTACTAATTTTATAGTTGCTTTTTTTTCTTTCTATTTTTGATATTATAATATGACTCAGATTACGACAGAAATTCCAATGCTCAGTTATAACAACAAGTGAAATAGCTTTGTTGTCTACTAGTATATTACCATGTACCTCTAATTTGCTATTTTTGTGCGTAGACCCCATTAATGTTACATGGAACACAGGGTCAATATGAACCCTGGTTGAGAACCACTGGCTTAAGTGTAATGGAAATTTATTACATTAAGAAGTAACCACTATAGGAGAAGGAAAACTTTGAATTCAAATCCTCAGAAATAATAGGGAAGATTAGGCTCTTTAGACTTGGTAGGGCAACCTGTCTAGAGGTATGTCAATTCTGAAGTCAAAACCCGCCTGAATAAGAATAGACTCATCAGCTTGTCTTCCCTAGTTACGGCTACTGCTGCTACAGTTGTAGTACATGCGATGTCCCAGTGACAATATTAGGTGGTCCTGATGGTGGGTCATTAGACTACACCGACAAGAAACCTTTCATAAGGGTAAGACTCGTCGAAAGAGTCCAGTCTCCATTTAAATCTGTTGCCTCTTCTTCATCTGCTTTTCTTTTTTATTTACTTCTTTTTTAATCATTTCACCCCAAACAAGGCGATAAAGCCACTAAGACACGGGGGGTCAGTGAGCGGAAAAAACATAAGAAAAAACGGGAGAACTATATAACAAGCAAGAACAATAAAAGAAGAGGAATGAAGAAGACATTAGCTGACGATTGATATTATATTTAGATTTTTGATGATCAAAATCGTCCGGAAAGCATAGAGTCAGATGAGAGTTCGACAAGCGAAAAGTGCAAGAGAAGAAACTGTTTACATAGAACTTACGGTTCCATCAAGCCAAAAATTCAACCTTGTTGCTAAATTTTAATTTTTCTTCTTTTATTTTGTTTTCCTTTTAAATTTAATTCATCCGACATCATGCTTTATTTTTACGTTTTCTTCTTTTTTTCATTTTGCTAATCCTTCATTATTTTTGTTATATATATATTTGACCTTCGTATTTTTTCTTTCTTCCTTTTCATCATCTTTAGCCTTTCTCTTTCTTTGTTGATTCTTTATCTTTCTTATAACCTTGGTTGGCAAACAGTCTATAACGGAAAGAATCGACTACCGACTGCAGTATACTTCTACTCCGTCAGCGGTCGGCAACCTACAGCACGCGTGCCACGCCAAGCAATTTCTAATGGCACGCAGCCGCAAATGACATCACGAAGTCCGAACAAATAACTACAACGCAAAGAAGATGTTTCAATTTTAATATATACTAACGTATATATACTATATATTGTATTGTAGAACAGGTATATTGAAGTTGGCTTGTATAAAAATACGTATGCTGTTGGCACACTGAATGATTTTAAAACCCCAAGTCGGCACATAGTTAAAAATGTTGCCGATCCCTGTTCGATGTAGTCATTCTTGAATTTAAAAAGACATGATCGCCCCAGCGTGTACCACGTATGACAGTTAACTGAACTGACCAGTTTTTCTGTCTTCTTCTTTATCTTTTCTTCTTTCCCTTGTTTTTTTTTTTCTTTTTGTATATATTTCTTCAGTTTTTTTTCCTTTTCCTTTTCTTGGTTGTTCTCATTATATTTGTGTTTTTCCTTTCATTTTTTTCTTCTTTACTCTTTTCCTTCTCTTTTGTTTTCCATATTATTTCTTTATCTTTTCTCTTCTTTTCTTTGTCTTGTTCGTCTTGATATATTTCGTCTTTTGTTTAACTGTCTTCTTCTTCTTCTTCTTTTAGTACTATTACTAATATTAATGATACTATAGCTACAACTATAACTGCAGCTTCATTTTCTTCTACTTGTTTTTATTTTGAGTTTTTCTTTTTTTTTCTTGATTTCACTTTTTCTCTCTTTCTTCTTTTCTGTCGATCTATTAATTTTTTCCTACCCCTCTTTTCTGCTTTTAATTTCTTCTTCTTCTTCTTCTTCTTCTTCTTCTTCTTCTTCTTCTTCTTCTTCTTCTTCTTCTTCTTCTTCTAATAATAATAATAATAATAATATTACTATTTAATCTTCTTTGTGTCTCATATTTTTTGTTCTTTATTCTCGACTCCACTATTTTCTTTTCTGTCGATCTTTTAATTTTCTTTTGAGTCACGCTTTTTTCATTTCTTCTTCTTCTTCTTCTTCTTCTTCTTCTTCTTTTACGCTTTATCTTCCTTCTTCTACGTCTCTTCCACCTGTTTTCTTTTTTCTTCTAATTCTTCTTCCCCTATTCTTCTTCTTCTTACATCTCTTCTTTTTCATCTTCTTCTTCTTCTTCTTCTTCTTCTTCTTCTTCTTCTTTTCTCATCTATTCTTTTCTCATTCTTCTACTTCTTCTTCTTCTTCTTCTTCTTCTTTTCTCATCTATTCTTTTCTCATTCTTCTACTTCTTCTTCTTCTTCTTCTTCTTCTTCTTCTGTTCTTCTTCTTTTCTCATCTATTCTTTTCTCATTCTTCTACTTCTCCTCCTTCTCCTCCTCCTTCCATCTATTATCTTATTCTTCTTTTCTCATCTATTCTTTTCTCATTCTTCTTCTTCTCCTCCTTCCCCTCCTCCTTCCCCTCCTCCTTCCATCTATTATCTTATTCTTCTTTTCTCATCCATTCTTTTCTCATTCTTCTTCTTCTCCTCCTTCTCCTCCTCCTTCCATCTATTATCTTATTCTTCTTTTCTCATCCATTCTTTTCTCATTCTTCTTCTTCTCCTCCTTCTCCTCCTCCTTCCATCTATTATCTTATTCTTCTTTTCTAATCTATTCCTTTTTTTATTCACCTCATTCTTCTTCTTCTTTTGCGTTCTCATCTTTTCTACATCACAAAAATACATTTTTGTTTCGAGAATGTCATTTGTGTTTCATGACCCACTTCTTTCTTTCTTTCTTTCTTTCTTTCTTTCTTTCTTTCTTTCTTTCTAATTCTCCTCCTGCTTGCGGCTTCATTCTTTTGTCGTCAACGATCTGTTCTAATTATTTGCCTCTTAAAAGAAAACAATAAATATAGAAATCATGAGATAAGCAGATAAATAGATAAAAAATTACCAGTAAATTGGCAAAAATAAACTTATCAAGCTCATGAAATGAAACGTCGAAATAAATATAAACAAAGTAATGTAAAAAAGGGGGAAAATTGAGAATTCGAAATAAGACTGGAAAAATTGCAATTAAATGAAAGCGACAATCTCAATAAAATCAACAAATACAAAAGCAAAACTAATGTTAATAATATTGATGAAGACGGTGGTGTTGGCGGCAAAAATTAATTCATTAACAATGACAATCATTACGACAATGATGATGATGGCGAGAATAATACATTTGTTAATATGATAATGATCGTAGTAAAAATGATGATGACCATGATGATAATAATAATAGTAATAATGGTTTTATTAGTATAGCATAGGTAGTAATATTCATAAATTTATAATGACGTTATTAATATTACATTTAATACTATTCTGATGATGGCAGTTGTAATAGTTTATGATGATTATGATCATGATGTGTTGCGTTCTGTGTCGTCGCTGGTGTCCAGCCATATTGCATAGATGGTATCACGTGAGGGAAACTTTTTTTCCATAGTCGTTTTATTAGAGGTGAGGGACTGACGTGGCAGCATGCGTTCCAGGAGGTTGCGCGAGTAAGGACGTCAAGAGAACGCATGCCGCCCGTCGCCTTAACGTACTTCCGCGTGTCGTCTTAGCCTTTCTCTAGAAAATGGTTGCGGAAAGCTTATCCACATTTCAAAATTTCTGCTTACGTCCTTCTGTTGACTTCGCGCCGTTTTGGTCTTATATCCAAAACTTAGACATAATAAATGTATTATTATGACAGTGTTGATAACAAAAATACCATACTATGTTTAAGAGTATTTTTACGATAGTAATAATAAATTTGTTATTATTACGATCATCGGGGTACCTCGAGGTGGTGTAATCGTCAGCAAGCTGGACTCGCTAAAACAATTACGAGTGAGGAGCGAGTTCGATCCTCACTGGGCGACCCCTAATTTCGTCCTTGTACCACGTCTTAGCTACACTTTATTATTATTTCCTTGGATTTCTGTTCCATACACATTTCCATCTAGATCCCTGTCAGAAATGGCTTCATTGATCATTTAAAAAAAAAATCCCTATCCTAAGATCACGCACCTTTTACCTAGGTAAAGCCCTTCGTAAGGTGTGCGCTGTATTTGCGAGTACAGTGTTTTGTATTTCTTTAAGACAGGGGCTTCTATTATTATTATTATAAAAATATAATAAATATTACAATGATGATGATGGTATCAATAATATATTTGCTATAATGAATATTATGATGGTGGTGTTAATAATAAATTCATTATGTCGATAGTGGTGATTGTGAAAATAATTTTATTAAAATAATGATGGCATTGGTAATAAAGTATTCTTAGTGGTGATGGTAATGATCATAGTAATAATGAATGTATGGTGGCAATGATTATTGCGATGATGATAATTATTGTGTCGATGATGAGACAAGGTAAGATAGGAAGATATTATAGGTGATGCATAAGAAGGGAAAAAATGAAAGAATACGTATGACCTATGTAGAAGAAGAAGAAGAAGAAGAAGAAGAAGAAGAAGAAGAAGAAGAAGAAGAAGAAGGAGGAGGAGGAGGAGAAGAAGAAGGTGGAGGAGAAGGAGAAGAAGAAGAAGAAGGAGGAGGAGAATAATAATAATAATAATAAGAAGAAGAAGAAGAATAATAATAAGAAGAACAACAACAACAACACGAAGAATACGAACAGCAATAAAAACAAAAAAAAAAGAGAACGAACGAGGGTAAACGAAAGAAAGAAGTATTTTGAAGAGGAAAAATAGAGAAAAAAGTACGCCATTGATGGAAATAATTTGACGAGAATGCAAAATTTATTGAAATCTATAAGTGAATACAATTTGTTTGTTTCCTTTTTTTTGTTTAAAAAAATCGTCTCTTTATTTTTCAGCAATTTGTATGTCATTATTTATCCATTTCTCTTATTTTCATCGTTAAAAAATCCAATTCCAATAGAACAGTGCGCATTCAAACCGAAAGCGAGGCTAGCAAGAAGCCTCACTTTCGGTTAACTTTTTTTCATTAGAACCGCCATTTTGATTTTATATTGTTTATTTAAATTTCATTGAGTCTCTATTTTTTCCATTTTAACTAATGATTCTATTCTATTTTTTCTTTCTTGTCCTTATCGACGTCAGGGTTTTATTTTAAACCAGCAAAATATTGCAAGGTTGGCGAGAAAGAGAAACGCATTTCTTACACGCAATCAAATATGGAGAAAATGAAAAAAGGGCTGCGTAAAACACTATCTTGCTCAAAGCTACACGAAGAGTTAAAAAGGGTTAACTGACTGAAATAGTTCGACATATTGAGAAATAGAACAAAAAACTATATTAATGCTTACATATGTACATGAATGCATACATACAAGCACACACGCATAAAACCACAAACACACATACGCACGCACACACACACACACACACACACACACACATATATATATATATATATATATATATATATATATATATATATAATAACATATAGTTTTGAGATATGTTATATTTATGAGGAAATGGGCTCAATATCCAGAACAAAATTTGTATGAGAATTGATGTCATGAAACACTGAGTGACGAGGGTCTGTTTCCAGCCTGAACGCATGCTTCTGACCATTTGTCTGTCTGTCTGTCTGTCTGTCTGTCTGTATCTCTCTCTCTCTCTCTCTCTCTATATATATATATATATATATATATATATGTATGTATGTGTGTGTATATATATATATATATGTATGTATGTATGTATGTATATTTATGTGTGTGTGTGCGTGTGTGTGTGTCTATTTTAATTTATTGATTAAATATTATTTTTTAGTGGATATCAATATTTGAGCAGATGGTCTGTTTTTACAGAATATTTATTTATTTCCACCTACCGGCCTGAATATTCGAAATATATAGATGGTAGGTTGAAATAATAAAAGTAAAAATGTACTGCTTAATAAATAAAAATAGAAAATCTACTCAAATATGGGTATCTCCTGAAAATAACGTTTAAACAATAAAATAAAAATATGTCTGAATAATACATGAAAAATCCGTTCCTAAAAATATACAGGTATACAAATTTAATTAATAACGACTGACAAGCTAATGCAATTAAGCTTTTTTTATATAATCCTTCTTGCATTCGGATAATAACATCATTGCCGTAAAAGAAGATTAAAAATAATGAAAATAATAATTTAAAAAAATGATAAGCCAGCACTCGATAATAGCATTTACAAACACGGCCATAAAGTACTGATCGTGTTTGGAAAAATATCCCCGTCAATATAGATACACATGTATAAAACTTTTAATATATTCCATGTCTAGAAAATAAAACATCTATACGAGCGCATGAAAAATTAATCTTAAAGCTTAATCACTGTACCATGTTAATTGTCTTTAACGAAACTTGTGAAAAAGAGAGATTGCTGCCCAAGTAATATACAGGGTGTTTCAAAAAGAATACGCCAAAATCATTACACTGTTTTTTCAGGTCTATATCATTGTAGTGGACTGAATCAGTGGTTATTTGATAGAGTAGTTATCAAAGTTTGATTGGGTGTCAGTATAACTTCCGGTGCAGCTACAAACAGGACAGACCTATCTCGAAATGCTCCAAAAATGGCTATTCACTTTACTGCAAGCAGATTCGAATGACTTCATTTTTCAGCAAGATGGAGTACCACCCCATTGGCATCTCAGGGTTAGAGCTTATCTGAATGAAAACGTGCCTCAGCGATGGATTGGGAGGAGAGGTTCTAAAGACCTTGCTCACTGTGCTTGGCCTGCCAGATCCCCGGACCTCACTGTGATATTGACTTTTTTCTTGTGGGGGTATGTTAAAGACCAAGTTTATGTTCCAGCACTTCCAGCAAGTATCGATGACTTGAAAAATCGAATAACAACTGCAATCAAGACGGTGGACCATGACATGCTGAGGCGCGTCTGGGAGGAATTCGGATATCGGCTTGATGTTGACCGTGCTTCCGGTGGTGGCCACATTGAGGACTTATAAAACATGAAATGAAACTTGAATGTATATATAACACATGTGTTCATGCTAGAGATTTGTAATTGTTTTCGTTTTTGACATATCACGTGATGATTTTGGCGTATTCTTTTTGAAACACCATATATATATATATATATATATATATATATATATATATTGGTGTGACCTAGGGAAGGTTACTGAATGGAATAATCAAACGAATGTTAATAATGGACGATAATACTTAGGACACGAACAACACATATAAGATTCGCCTGCGGCCTGTAGAAGAAGGATACAAATGCTAGAAAGAAGTCAAATGAATTTCACAATGAATGTCGAACTTCAGGAGAAATACCAACCTTCCCACGCGGTCAGATGTGGTACAAGGCCAAATTTGATGTGTGGCATCCAAACCGGTAGGGTCGGCGAAAAATTTGCCGTAGATCCCGTGTAAAACGGGGTCGGATAGGTGTTTCCGGAGACGACAACGAAACAACTGTCGAGTCCTTTCTGAATTCTGTTGAGGAATCTTCTAGACTCGATTAATTACTATAATGATTATTCTAATTTACCCAAATTCTATCATTATATATATATATATATATATATATATATATATATATATATATATATATATATATATAAAGGTACAAATACTAATATTCCATGGTTATAATTTATTACAT